CCTCTGGCCTACACCCCAGTTCTGTATGCACAAATAAATAAATCTTTAAAAAAAAAAAAAAAAAAGCTAAGACTCAGAGAGGATAAGTTACCGCTCAAAGCCCCGCAGTGATTGAGGGTGGAGTTGAGGATTTCAGTTGCAGCTCCCTTCTTCCAGAGCCTGCATGTTACCCTGCTGCCTTTGTTCTTAGACATGGGATACTGCTGGCCGGCACCGCCGACCTTCATCTCCTGAGCTGTGAGGCAAGCATAGAATATGTCATGGACGGGCATGAATTGCTCTACCCTTGGCAGGGGACTGCACATATGGGCAGCCTGGCAGTTCTGATCCTAGTCCTTTGGCGGCCTAGGGAAGGTGGCTTCTCTACTCAGATACCAGCTATCTGCTGTAGGGGTTCGACACTCTGGCCTCATGGAATTGCAGATTGTAGACTGTGTCACAAAACCTGGAATCCAGGCGTTGGCCAAAACAGCAGCCACGGAAAAATTGCAATCCCCAGAAACATCTTCAGGGGCTCTTGTTAACAGGCAGGCTCTGGTGGAGGAGGCAGGAGGATCAGAGAGGCAGCTGCTTTAACTGACTCCCAGAGGCTGCTGATGCTGCTAAGCTGAAGATCATGATCTTAGTAGCAAGACTCCATGGTCCTGGGCACTGAACCCAGCGGATCCAGGATATCAACAGGTGTGCCCTCAGGAGCTCCAGTTTTCCAGAGAATCCTGAAGGCCATTCATGACCTTACACCTACTGTGTGGCTAATGTGAGGGCTTGCTTGGCTTCCCTGGAAAGGTCATTTTGGAGAAAGCACGTGTAGACATTTGTCCTATCAGAGACTTGGGGGTTTACAAAAGACGCTTCCTATCAGGGTTGTGTAGTCCTCCAGTTCTCGCTACTTTGCCATTCACCAGCTATCCGGGAAGCAAAAGGGATCCATAGGCATTCGTTCACTTTCTTGTTCATTTGTTTATAAAGCACATATATACGCTGAAGGTGTTGAACACCTTCTCGTTGGCGGGTACATGCTTGGGTTCTGGGTCGGGGACAACCTAGCAGTGCTGTCACAGGCCCTGAACTCATGGAGCTCTGGAGAGGAAGCCAGGCATGAGAGCAACAATCACGGCACTGTGGCACAAGAGCCTGTGAGGCTGCCATGACGGAGAATAGGGGCTGGGGGAGCAGGCCACAGCGGAGCTGCCTGGGGAGGGTTGACCTTGCTGGGAAGGGTAGTGGGAACTGAGATCTCAAGTATGGATAAGGGAGTGGGTGGAATGATACTTGGCTGGGAACCAGGAAAAGGCCACTACCAGAGACATTCAATGTCCTTGCTAGCCAAAGGTCTCATCTTCCTGTGAGTGCCAATGTCGCATGGCCTACCTCTGAGCGTGGCCGGGCTAGTTTCCAGCCCTGGCTGTTGTTGCAGCCAACCACGTGAGCCTGCATCCTCCTGTCCAGCTGTGAGGACAACAGTAGAGCAGTGGGATCCCTTAGTTCTGCCAGAGAGAGAGAGAGAGAGAGCGCGCTCTGGCATGGAGTGTTCCCTTACCTTCCTTCCACAAAAAGATATGCTGAATGCCTAACCCTGTGCATCTGCAAATGTAACCCCATTCAGAAAGAGGGACTTTGCAGAAGATAGAAGATGAGATCATTGGGGTGGGCCAACCTGGAGTCTACACAAGAAGGGTCTTTTGGACAGGCGTGTGGAACGATGTGTGCGAAGACACTCAGCTACACAGACACAGGAAAGGGGGGCAGGTAGAGATGGAGGCACAGATTGGAGTGATACAGCCACAAGCCAAGGGGTGCCTGGAACTATCAGAAGTAGAAAGAGGAGGCCTCCTTGGTGTTGCAAGGGGATAAAGTGCAGCACTAAGAAGCTCTCCACAGCACCAGTAGGATCCCTGGCCAGGGAGCTGACCCACATGGCGCAGCAGACCTCTCCTGTCTCACCCACTGCTCCCCTCAGCAGTATGTTTTGGTCGATCTGTGTATTCTACTCCTCACTCTGTCTCTGGTGAATCCTCTCACCCCTACCCCTGCGCTTCTGATCTGTACCCAGGTTCTCGTATGCATAAATTTAGAAAAGGAAATAGAAAGAGGCCAGGAAGCACTCTCCCATGAGACTTCGGAGAGAACATGGCCCTGCTCACATTTTGATCTTGGAAGTAACCTCTAGCACTGAGAGAAAATCCACCTTCATTGTTTTCAGTCACCCAGTTTGCAGTTCTTTGTTATAGCAAGTCTGGGGGGTGAACATAGTGATGGAACTGCCCACAGAGTTGTCCTTGGGGATGTGAACCTAAACTGGGGGTACAGGCAGTCACAGGACACCACCCTGTCCTGGGTCAAGAGTGTAATCACCCCGCTTAGCAGCTGTGGGTCGAATGAAGTAAAAAGGACCAGAGTAAAGGCAGGGAGACACTCAGGAGATCCCAGTACCAGTGATGGATCAAGGAGACACCGAGGCAGTGAAGTAGACAGATTGTGATATTTTCTGTGGCAGCAGCAGAAGAGAGCAGTGTTTGGGGTGACCTCCAGCTTTGGACTTGAGGACCTGGAGATAGCACATGTAAAGGGGTCGTGGAGTCTTTTTTCTGCCTATCTCACCAAAAAGCTAATTGTATTCTCAACACTCTTTGGGCTTTTTCTCTCTCATTTGATGGCTAATTTAAAAATGAAAAATGTTTTCTCATTAGAGAAGGCATTACTCATAGAGAATGACAAGTGGAGAAAACAACTAAGGTCAGATCAGCTTCTTCCTCTCTTCACAATCTCCTCCCCCTGTTTGTATTTCTCAAAGGAGGCCAGTCAGGGTCATTATGAGGCATTATTCAAAGAAGATTCCCCAATGCCCCAAGCCCTGGAATAATCCTCTCCCTTTGAGGGGCGAGTGGGCGAGTGGGCTTGGCCTGGTCAGATGAGCCCTTTAAAGAGCATTTAGAGCCCTTCCTGGTACACAGCGAGTTAAAGCACAGCACTGCAAAGCTGGCCACCACTGCTTCGGTACAAGTTCCATCCCCTCCCCAGAGGAGAC